TTAAGTTTATTTTTAAAAGTTTCAACTTATTTTTAAAATTATCTAACAAAATTATATTAAAAGTTAAGCTATAAAAAATAAAAATAACTTACGAGTCTTAGAAATTCTTCAAAAATTTTCATCACTTATTAATTTAAACACACACAAAAAAAACACGGAAATTAAATCTAAAAAATAAATTATTTATTTATTAAGAGATTTATAATATTTAACAACCTAAAGTATTTTTTAAACTACATATTATCTCATCAAAACAACAAGATTTTAAAATAATTAATGACTTTTGTAAATTTATTTTTTCTGCAGAAAAATGAAGAAAAAATTTACTTTAAATTATAGACATTAAATTCGACTTTATTATGATTATAAGTTATTATTTTGACATTAATTACATCCTTTAAAAATAAATGTATCAAGTAGCTTACGGAAATTTATCGTTGTTTTTTTAACATAGTCTATATTTTTTTAAACATTTATTTATTTATTTATTATTATTATTAAAACGTTGCTAAGTTAGTTATATATATATATATAAGAATCGGTTGAAGAGAGCATGAAAATTTCAGTCGATACCATTGTCCAAATCTGTTACATTCGATAAAGACAATGGAAGAAGTCGGTCCCTAGAGATTGCTTCGTCTATATCCTTCGAATTTGTCATTTTATCTAGCTCGTCCATAATTCATTTTCTTTCTAGCCATTTACTAAATCGTTCTTCGGTTTTAAACACATTTTATTCCTTTAAATTCACCTTTTTTTATACTGTTTTATTAATGGAAGTGGCAAATAAGAACGTTCACTTTCTGACTTTTTTAAATATATTTTTTTAATATTCCTTTCGTTAAATTTATGATAAATCTTATCAATTATCGTAGCTTAGGTATATTCTATTTTTCAATCGATATTATTAAATAAAAATAATAGTTATTTTAGATATTTTAAAATGTAAATTATAGCTTATACGTAAATTCAAAATCATGCTGAAAGAATAGAAAATTTGAGTGATTTAAATAATAATAATAAAATTTATAATTAATAAGGATTAAAATATTATTCATTTTTGAAGAACACAAAACTAAATAAAAATTGATATCAAATTCAAGTTAATATAGAATGTTATTATAAAATATTATAAATTTTATTAAGAATATACGATTAAAAATAAATAAACTAGGAACATTGGTACTGTACTTTGAGCTATATTAATATTCAGTGTGGCCCGAAAGTCAGTTAAATGTGTTGTTTGCAATTTGAAAACAATTCAGCAATTAATCAAAGTTTTATAATTTGCATATTAAAAAAATAGCATGATTAACGATGATTGGTTGAAAGAAAAACTTCCAACCAATCATCGTTAAGACAAACATAACTTTGACCAATCTTTGCTTCGTTTAATATCTTACATATTATTTAAATAATCACTAATAACAAAGCTGTCCAATTTGATTTTTATCTTTTTCTTTCATTTCTCAAACTATATTGTATTTTTTTCTATAGTTTATTAGTAAAATAATGCTTTATTATATGATGTATCATATATGGATGGAGATGCTGTTTCCAGTAAACGATATACTAAATTACACCGTGGAAACATTCAGAATCCTAAATCAGATCTGTATCCTGATGAACAGCGTAGATAATGTGCAATTTGGTTGATAAATCATATTAATGTGCTTACAGCCGATAGAATGTTATACATTGATCCATGTTATATACATCATACAATGTATGCAGAATGCATAAAGTGTTAAAATATTTGTTGTATATAACATAATGAGAAAGATAAACAGTTATCTAATAACATTTATTTAATACATAATTATAATTATATACGTTAGCTAAAACATTGCTGATAAATATTTTTTTCACAGAATATCACGTGCATCACGTGTAATTAAAATATATAATATATAAGTAAATTTTAAATATATTATTATCATTAAAAAATTTTATTTATGTTTATGAAGTCCTATCACACAGGTCTTCATAAAGATACCGCAGGAGGCCATGTGAGGCTGTGGCTAAGTAGCTAAGACCTCACATTTATAAGACCTCAAAAAAGTATACCTCTGAGAGGCCCTGATCTTTATACTGTATAATAATTTCATCACAATTTAAGCAGTTATATGGATAAATTATCACATTTCTCTTCATTAATAAATAAAATTTTAACAAAAGCGGAAAGAATCAAAAAGTATTTCTTGAATTTGCTGTTCAGAAAGCGTAATCAAACTTCCTTCCTTTCTGCTTATTTTTTTTATTTTTGAAGTTGTACAAGTTTTTTATTTTTCGANAATTTAATGTAATTATCTTTAAAAGTTCTTATATTCAGATTAATAAATAACCTATATTGAGGAAAAATATATTTTGTTGCTCTGACCAGTAGCATGCCAAGAATGGACTAGGCTAGTCCCCTAAATTCCTTGAAGTACTATCTAAATATTATTTTTAATGCATTTGTATTTGAAACCTTTTACTTAAAAAATATGTATTTTTTTTTTGTGTATTTTTCCCATCTGGCCACCCCTTCTTTATGCTGAGTTCATTTCCTTCATGAACAATCCTGAACACCCTTCAGGACATCTTAGTTGACTTGTCAACAGGACTAGCTTGCAGACACATATTCTTATCATACTATTGTGTTTTGAGTGCATTCAGGTGGTTCTGTAATAAGAGATTTTTAGTTTTCTGTGCTTATTGAAAACAACATTCCATTAGTAATTTTTGTATTTTTAATGTTATAAAACCCTTAAAAGTTTCATCTAAAGTGTAAATCTATGCAAAAGATGGTATACATGATAAGAAAGCTTTGAATTTAACATGGAAGGGTGACTCATTAACTCTTTAAACACAAAATCAGCCAAAATTGGCCTTATTCTTTCAAAATGAAATCAGTTGATCTAGGTCAGCGGTTCCCAACCTTTTTTTCTTTAGCGTACCCCATGACACGTCATATCTCTAGATTGTACCCCTCATTTAAGAAATTTAGTGAGTACCCGTATTGTTAATTTTACATATTGTAACTTTAAATTAAAGAAAAAAAAGTAAATGAAAAAATGTATAATAAAGTTGTGATTGTTGCAAGGAACATATTTTACCTAATAATTTTTTAATACTATTAGTTTGTGATACATAATATATTATTTTTTCTGCCATAATGACTATGACTAACTTTTTTCTGTACCCCTAAACAACCTATCGCGTACCCCTAGGGGTACGCGTACCACAGGTTGGGAATCGCTGATCTAGGTACCACAGGTTGGGAATCATCACAGCAGAGTAAAGACAATAAATGATTTCTATACTGTATTCTGGCTTGCCTGCTTGAAATGTTCTTTGGAACCGTAAGTTTCCAAGAAAAAATCTCCAGCAACAAGTTGTTTAACTTTCCCACAACAGTTAAAACTGCATGTGACGATATCTGTTATGATATTTTATTAAAATTTATGTTTTTAATTACTATAAAATGGCAAAAGGCTTAATTTTCAGGATAGGGGTGGGTTTGATAAAAAGTTGTAAATACTAATAACGAGTAAAATTGCCATGTCTGTTCTACTTGAGACATGACACACCACCTCCTTCATCTCTCCACCCCATCAACCTTCAACCACCAAAATTTAATGGTATCAATCCCCCTAATACACAAACCAACCTGCAAAATCTCAGAAATTTTTGACAAAAAGCACAGGAGTTATTAAGATTTCAAGAGGTTGAATAAAATTGTGTTCCACACACACACTAACATCCATACATACAGGAAAAACCCAAATTTTTTGTATTTCTCGATGTTTCAAGGTCTCCTGAATATAAAATTGTAAAAATCTTGGGGAGATCATTTTTTGACCAATTGTCATACTTTTCTTCTGTTATATATAACAGAGACAGAAAAATAAAATTAATGTGCCAATAATTTGTGAATAAAATGAGTTTTCTCTGGGTGTTTAAATAATAATTGTTATAATGTATGAAAAATGGATTTTCTCACATCTGGTTCTTTTTGAAAATTGTCATTACACACTGTTGGTTATGACTTTTTAGATTCAATTATAGCAACAATTTTCTATCAGAATAAAAATTAGCTTGGTAAATTAGAATGCCACAAGTTACCAGGCTTCAGTCATTACTGTTAACTAACTTTTATGGTAATTTTATTACTTAAGGATTAGGTAGTAATGAAAAATAATTATTTGAAATATTAACAATTATCATGCTAAATTTCATAACGTTTTAAACTTTTCATTATAAGACTTTTATATTCTTGGTACAGAAACGTTAGGAATTAAGATTTAGTAATTATTACAACTTTAATAATCACGTAATCATGCATAATTTTTGGTAATGTATAAAATGCTTTATTGTACTTTTAGTAATAGGAAATAATGACTTAATACTGAATTTTAGAATATCAAACTTTCAAGAAGCCCAAAAATTATCTGTATAAAAATATTTTTGTGATATTCTGTTATCATTAATTTAAACTTTGTTTCATTAATTTGTTTCATAAAATAAAGAACATAAACTTCTATAGAAACACATCCAAAAATCATGCATTCAATCATTATATAATAAAAAAAAATAAACAAATGTATTATTGGAATTTTAAATGTAATTGGAATATTTACTTTTTTCAAATACAAGTTTTGAGTGTTATTCTATAATAACAGTTAATGTTCTGTAAAACTTGTAACAGATGCAAGTTTAAATTGATAAAGATGGGTTGGGATAGCTTATAAAACACTTTTTTCCTAAGCAGTTTTTTGAGTTGGAGGTTTGTTGTTTGGGGGACTTGTTACTGTATTTTATCTCTCAATATGGAATTGCTTGTTTATATCTGTTTTCATAGTTTTATTCTAAGAATTCAAAATTAAAATTTATCATTGGAATTTTATTATATTCTATTATTACTTAATTTTGTAGTTAAGTTTGATTATTTATTAATATTTGATAAATTTAGCTTTAAAAAATTTATTAAAATCTATAATTTATTTATTTTTTATTAGACAAAACAGATAGTTGGAAGAGAGTTGTTCAAGGTGTGAGAGAGATGTGTGATGTTTGTGAAACAACTCTGTTTAATTTTCATTGGGTGTGCCATAAATGTGGTTTTGTTGTTTGCCTTGATTGTTATAAAGCAAGGAAAAATGGTACTGCCAAAGGTATGTTATTTATACTTTATATTATACTTTAATATAGGTAAAAGATATGACATTCATTACTTACATTAAAATATTAGAAGAGGAACCACTTCAAAGAAACCATGATGAATATCAATGGTTATACTGCAGTAATCACCAACCACATGAACAGGATAAGCTTATGATGACAAATATTATTGCCAGTTCTGCATTATGGGACGTTTCAAAAATAATGCATGACATTAAAAAGAAGTGGAATATTCAGGCTCATTGTACATGCTCACTTTCAAATGATGAACCTAAAGAAAAACCTGTATTCAATGGTATCTGTAAGGTATTTATATTACAATGCATTAAAAAATATTTGAATTTTATTTTCTTAATAAATTTAACAAGTTTTATTCTCTTATAGCAATTAATGAGTGCTGTAAGTAAAACATTTGATACCAGAAAAGAATCTACTAATACAAGTGATTCACAAGCATTGAAGAAACATGAAAAAGTTTCTGTGAACAAACTATGTCAAGGTCTGAAACAAGAAAATTTAGGAATGTATAATGAAGTCGAAAGTTCACCCTTAACATGGCTTGCAGATGTTGCACTTAATTCTTCAGGAAAAATACAAGATAATCAAGCTAATAAATATTCACAAGACAATCCTAAAGAAACTGTTTCATTGCAAACTTGCACAGGAGAAAGTCTCTTAAAATTAGAAGATAAAAATAAATATAATTTTTCTAGTCTTTGCCAACTGATAAAATCTGATAAAAAGAATAATAGTAATAAACCGGAGAAAGGTTTAGTAAATTCACTTGATGACATAATTTTATATGTCATAGAACAGAAAATGGGGAAGTCTGAAGGAAGTAATGAAGAAAAATTATTAAAACATTTTTCACGTCGTTATCCTCAGCCAAGGAATGGTCATGAACCATTACCAATTCGTATATGTACGCTAACTGAAAGTAGATTATTGTTTCCTAGTGTTCCTCATTCATGGTTGTGTAATGGTAAATTGCTTCTTCTTGAAGATCCGAATCATGTAAATAATTTAAAAATCTTTCAAGAACAATGGAAAAGAGGCCAAGTAAGTAACTTATTTCATTTTATTGTCTAAATTATATTATGTTAGAGAAATATAATTTTTTTATTTGCATATTAAAATTATTCAAATGAACTTATCCCATTCTGCATGGACAAGTGTTTTAAATGTATTCATTCTAATGAACAATTGAAATTTATATTTATTTCTTAAATTGTAAATAAATTTTTTGATGGCAGATATTAATCATGAAATAGTAGTAGTACAGTAGAATCTTGGAAATTCAACAATCTATAAAAATTGTCATGCTGTTCAAAAGAAAAAATGCATGTAACATAATCTTTATCTCTAACCTAGCACTAGGATCAAATAAGTTGTCATTCATCACTGGCAACACTTGATAAACCATCAATTCCACATGTTAACAAAGAAATAACATGTTGTAGTACCTTCTTTCTAGGGTGCCACTGCAGCGTGCCATGACACAAATGTCACTGTCTCAAAAGTAGACACTGAATAACCAATATTTTTTTAAAATTAAAATTTAACTACAATTAGAAATAGTTACTATTGGTACTGGTACTGTACATAGTTAATATTGTTGCGGCTCACTTTTCCCACCGTATAATTCACAGTGCAGGGGTTAGCATCTTTGCCTATCAAACGGAAGGGTTTCGGTTTGCACCTTGTTGATGTGGATTTTTTTTTTTTTTTCATTCTAGTCTGAGAACACATGTTAATTTGTTATCATTTACATATTTCAACCATGTCCGCACAGTAGATAATCGCGAGCTCTCAGGTTGAGGGTGATTATTCTCTAGCACTGCAAGCTGCAGTGGTTGTACGTTCTCTGAGTGAATAAACACCTCCTTTGTGTTCCTAACGACAGGTTGCTGTTCGTTTATGCAACAATATATAATTTGTTTGGGTGATTATTCTTTTCTGGTTTTTCTTATTAAAATTAACTTCTCAATACTGGAAAGAGTCACAATCACACTTTAAAAACCTTTTAAGACTTTAAAGGTTTCTAAAGTGTGTTTTGTTCTGTAATTAGCATTCCCAATAATCTCTCTAGTACTCTTATATTTAGTGCCTATTTAAACAATATCATTCCTGTTTGCCCTTCAAATGGTTTAGTTTATGCAGATGATATTAAGATCTTAGATTGTGATTTTTAACAGTAATAAAATAGATACCTTGTACTCCAGCAGTTGATTTAATAAATCATAACCTTTTTAACCTAATCCAATAGATCTTCCTCACTGGATTACACCATTTAAAATAAAAGAACAAGAATATCAAATTCAATGGATATAATTTAAAATTAAAAGGTGTCCTAAAGAGAACACTATTAGAAAAAAAATTAAAATTAACAATTACAAATAAAAATTAAAAAATAATGAAGATTAATATAAACAAAAATAATTAGAAGACCAAGTTCAGGTTACATTTTATATAAGGACTTCCATGTCATAGGCAAGGTGTGTGAATCCCTATGGTTGATACAATATAACTTTTGGTTGGTTTTAGAAATTTCCAGCATTTCTAAGAACCTAATAGTGTTAGGGTTCTTAGCCAGTCTAATGATTCTGCCTCATCCCACTTTATTTGTATATCTCATTTGGCAGTATAAGATGCTAAGGTGATGGAGTTGAGATGCTTTTTCATTGTGTATTTATGTTCCTCGATTCTTTTTTCAAGATATGTCTGGTAGCTCCCACATATTAGATTTTTGTCAAAATTCTTATCCTCAATTGGAATCATGTAAACACCAGAAGAGCTATTATAGCTGATAGTCCTTGTTGTTATGTAAGATTCCAAAAACTGTTGAATTATGGTTATATACAATGTTTACATTGTTCATATTGGCTAGTTCTATGTGTATTCATCCTAACATGGAAAAATAATGTAATGCAATTCTCCTCTTAGATGTCAGTTAGGTAGATGCAGCTCTTGTGTTTTTAAAGACATTAATTAATTTAGATATCAAAGTTGTAGGAAATTCATTTTGTTCAGCAATTCTTTCAATGTAATCTAGTTCAATGTAAGTGTCAATTATATTAATGGGTGTAGGCCCATTGTAATAAGGATCTGAATGTTGAAAGCTTTACAGATGGTAAATCGCAGGAATTGTGTGATATGAAAAAAATTTGTATGTGAGTTTATGGTAAATATTAGTATGCTGTCTTTGTCAAAAAAATGGACCAAAGTGTCACTTTCTTGCTTCAAGCTTAGAAGGAGACTAAAAGGATTGCCGTTGAGTTTTAGAAACAGATTCAGGCCAGATTTTTTGTGCCATAAAATAAAAATATCATCAACATACCTAGTGTAAACCATGATTTAATGTAGAAACATTGGTAGAAACTTTTTCCAATCTGTGAATGACAAGTTCACAAAGGATCTTGGAGGTGGGCTGCCCATGGGAACACCTCTTCTCTGCACATAAATGGTGTTATTAAATGAAAGAAAGGAAGTGTAACATACCAAATGGGCCATTTCCAGAATGTGTTTGTAATATTTGGGGCATGTTCCACGTTGGTGAATAGGAAGTCTATTACTGTCATGTACTCGTTATCCACCAATTCTATGTTTTTAAAATGATCCAACAACTGTATTGAATTGTTAATGGTGAATGGATAATGTTAGGTTTTACAACAATGTAATGACATAATTTGCTTTTCAAGTAAGAATGTGGGAGAGGAACATTTTTCAACAACTGGCTGTATTTGGGTTCCAGGCTTGTGTGTTTTAGTGAAGGCAAAGATGTGTGTTCTGGGTGCCGAGATGAAAGAATTGTTTAATTACTCTATTTACTAGACTTAATAGTACTCAAAAATTTTGTTTTTGCCATTTGCCAAATATTGTAATAATTGTAGAAAATCAGATTGCCAAGAATTTCATGTTTTTAAAAAATGATGTAAAAAACTTTTTTCCCATAATTTACTTTGTAATTTAATTTAATGTATTTTTATATGTTGCTTTTAACTGTATTATTTGTTTTTAGGTTTTAAATGGGTTTGTTGTAATGGGGCAGTAATCAAAAGTTCTAAGAAATGCTACTGCATAACCTAATTAATAAATAATAATCTTTTTATGCTATTGGTGTCAATAAGGGGTTGATAGCATGCAATCATTATCAGTCTTAACCAATGATTTAAGTGTTAAATGTCAATCATTATTTCCTCAAACTACAATAGTTTAAATTGCTTGCATTTCTTACTTCAGTTATAAACTAGCTGCTGTAAAAGATGATAACAGGCAAGCAACATTGGATGAATTATATTCATGAATTATATATATATATATATATATATATATGTGTGTGTGTGTATATATACATTTATTTATTAAAACAAATTTATGAATAATAANATGAATTATATTCATGAATTATATATATATATATATATATATATATGTGTGTGTGTGTATATATACATTTATTTATTAAAACAAATTTATGAATAATAACTGGACCAAAAAATAAAACATAAGACAACATTTATTATTTAGTTATTGTATAATGAGTAAAATAATTTAAACACAGTGGTACCTCAGGATACGAACGCCCCAGCATATGAAATTTTCAGGATACGACATGAAATTCCAACATATTTTTGCTCCACGATACGAACAAAAACTCACTATATGACGTTACATTAGTTTGCAGCGCCATTTTTTATTCACTTCTATTCATCAGTCTCAGTCTGCGTGTTTGCTTCATCTTGGAAGGATCTCGCTCGATAAAGGAAATCTTGAGGTATTATGAGAAAGTGACTGATTTTATTGAAAAGAAACATCCCGACAAGGTTCACACTGGCCATATTGCTNTTGGAAGGATCTCGCTCGATAAAGGAAATCTTGAGGTATTATGAGAAAGTGACTGATTTTATTGAAAAGAAACATCCCGACAAGGTTCACACTGGTTATATTGCTGCTCGGAGTAATGACATTTGCCTAAGTCATTTTAGAAAAATTTTAAAAAGTAGGCAAAACCAAACCTCTTTGGATAGATATTTTACCAAGCAACCTCTATCCAGTGAAAGTGCTGGTGGAAGTGAAGGAAAGAAAGCAAAAAAAACAGTGAATAAAAATTTAAAAAAAATATATATAAAACAACACTAATTTTTTAAATCTTTTCTAAGTTATTTTTAAGTTATTGTTACATTATGTTATACAAGTTAAGTTTTAGTGTCATTTTCCTTCTCCCTCTCTTTCGCCACCAGTTTACACCTCCACCGTCGTCTATCCTCAAAGTTAAAGTGCAAATAAAACTACATTTTTTAAAATCAATTATTATTCTATTATGGTTATTTATATATTTACAACTACAAAATGCATTTTTCAGTGTTTTCCTTACTATAGTTTTTTTTTTTTTTTCAATGTACTACTTAGCTTTAATTTGAGTGTTTTTCGTGTTAGAATGAATTATTTGGTTTTACATGTAATTGTATGGGGGAAAATGATTCACCTCATGACATTTTCATGATATGATTTCAGTTTCGGAACGGATTAATTTCGTATTCTGAGGTACCACTGTATTGAATTTTATAAAGAACATCATAGAGGTGAAGGCATTGTCTAAAGGTGGAATTGCGAAATAGAAAATTTTTATTTGAAGTTTCCAATTTTCAAATTAAAAACTCGATGATAGTTTTATTATTTTATATTTTTAAAACAATATTTTTTCTTTATTTTTATTATTCAATTATTAATTAACCTTTTTTCTTTTCTTATTGATGTTAAGATTTATCACTTTTTGTGTATATTTTTTGTATATAAAGATTTCTAATTTTAATATTTATTCATAGCCTGTTTTAGTTGCTGGTGTAAGTTCAAAGTTAGATATGTCATTATGGCATCCTGATTGTTTCTGTCGTGATTTTGGTGATATCAAAAATGATTTGGTGAATTGTAAAACTGGAATAGTATTACCAGATTTGCCAATGAGGAAGTTTTGGGAAGGTTTTGAAAATTTTCGCAGTAAGTTTAAATTTGATTTAATTACAGAATGTAATATTTATATTAAAAGAACAGAAGACAAAAATAAATTAATTAAAAATCATTTAGAATATTGCAGTTAAAAATAAAATAAATTAAAATAAAATTAGTATAGTATTAAAATCAGTATTAAAATAAATAATCATATATATCAGTCAGTATTAAAATAAATAATCATATATATCAGTCAGTATTAAAATAAAATTATTTTAGAAAGGATGACTGATGAAGATGGTGAATATATGTTGTTAAAATTAAAGGACTGGCCACCAGGAGAAGATTTTAGTGAAATGCTTCCTTCACGTTTTCAAGATTTAATGAAAGTTTTACCTTTACCTCAGTATACACATAGAGATGGTGTTTTTAATCTAGCAGGACGTTTACCAGAATGTTTTGTTAGACCAGATCTTGGACCAAAAATGTATAATGCTTATGGTAATTAATTATATTAAATTTTTAAAATTTTTATGTACCAAGTAATGCAAATTTATGTACTATATAGATAAGAGATGTAATATTAAAATATTTTTTTATTAATTATACAATAATTTAGGTTCTGCTTTATATCCAACCAAAGGAACAACTAATTTGCATCTTGATATAAGTGATGCTGTAAATGTTATGGTATATGTTGGTATTCCAAATGATGGAAAGGATGAGGTCCACATTCAAGGTAACTTAATTTAGTATGTCAGAAGTTCTAAATTTTTTTAAATGGTATCAGTAATTAATACTTACAAATTGTTTTATATACTGTGGGTGATCAGTTAATGAACATAATCCATTTCAAGACTTTGTTTGCTATCTGAATTGTTCATTAACTGATTATCGATTTACCATAGGTTTTTATGGGAATTTGATTAATTCATTCTGAAAACTCCAAAAAATAAAAAATATATACTTTCTTACCACGTTTATTTATATGTAATAGGAAAAATACATATATGTAGTCTTGCATTTTTATTAATCATGTTTTTCCACATGTGGGGTTAAAGAATCTTTGTAATGTTGATAGCTTTTCTCTCTTCTTCAGGATTTTTCAGAGGTAATTAATAGCATTGTAATCGTAGAGATACCCAAGCCTATTAACCTCAACCTGGTTTGGATACCATTCTAAGTCTGTTGTTCTGATTTCATCCCTCTTCTTCAAAACATCTTTAATAGCAGATATTGGCATTAATCCTCTTTTTCAGAAGAAAACATATCTCACCAAGTTTCTTGGTGTTCTTCATTCAAGAGTTCTTGGCATTCTTCTGTCGTCAGATCTGTTTCAGGTTCCATTATGAGCTCTTCGATATTCTTTTTTTCTCAGATGTGATTTTTGTTACTCCTTTAGCTGCTTGAATCTTCTTGATTATACTGTAACTTTCTTAGATAAAATTGAACTGTGGCCTACTATAGACCTGTTCAAGCCAACTGTAGACTGCCCAGCAACATCAGACATCTTCTGCCCACTCTCTATCTGCTATTATACTTTCATCTTTTGAAAATAAGAACTGATGCAAAACTTAACGCATGACCATCCAACAGTCTCTCAAATACTGTAAAAAAAAATTGTTTGTCAGAAACATAAAAGGCTGGAATTACAAGGGAGAGTTTCAAAGTTTGGAGGAATACTATTCGATCAGTATATACCGGGTTGACGTCTCCTGCACTCCAAAAAGTTTTGAATTGTTGCCTGAAGACGAGAAGACCAATTGGTATTCATTATTTTACTTTGCTTCTTGTATTTGTTCTATGAAATGTTTGTTGTCCAAACATAAAAATATTTCACGAAAGTGTTCGTTATCTGATCTGTTCATAGGCTGAACTGTTCATTAACTGATCACCCACTGTGTATATATATATATATACACACACACACATATATTATTATTTTAACAATATATTAAATATATATTGTTAAAATAATAATAATCTCATGTACATGGACAACATAAAATTTTATGCATCCACACAAAAACAATGTCATCAACTTCTACAAATCACACATTCATACACCAAGGACATACAAATGGAGTTTGGCCTAGACAAATGCAAAACACCTCACATAGATGAAGGAGTCTTGAAGAAAGAAGAATTTGCACTTGGAAATGGGGACATTATTGAATCCATGGAAGAGGGCGAGTTCTACAAGTATTTAGGATTCCAACAGGCCAAACTAACAGAACGTGCACAAATAAAGCAAAGATTAATTAAAGAATACCAAAGTAGGTTAAATGCTTAGAACAGTTAAATGCAAAACACACAGTTAAAGAAACACAAATTAGTAGACATCCACAAACTATACTACAAATACATTCCACAGACAGTATTGGAAAACAACATGCACAAAATGTACTATGACAGAACCATAATCACAGATAAAACAATTTACCACAATAGACCAGACATCACACTCATTGACAAACACAATAAAATCACATACATTATAGACATATCCATTCCAAACACTCATAATATACAAAATGCATGCACTGAAAAAGTTAGCAAGTGCACAGAACTTGTCCAGGAGATAAGGCATCTGTGGAGGATGGATAGGATGCTTATTGTACCTGTCATTCTCTCCTGTACAGGTGTGACACCATACACACTACACAAAAGCCTGGGCACATTACGATTGAATAGAAACACATACATCACACTTCAGAAGGCCACTCTATTGATACACGTCATATTGTGAGGAAATTCCTGAATACAGACACACACACACACACACACTTTTTTAATTTTTGTTTTGATTACTATGCCTTGACTTTGGTTTGGCATAGTACACAGCCATCAGTGTTAACCAAGTATATCTTGCATAACCCAACATAAATAATATATTATATAAAATAGCATGTATAATAAAATATAATTATTTTAATATATATTATAAAATTAAAATATTAAAACGAGCAATTATTTAAACGGCTACAATTTTTAATCATATTTTTAAATTGTAGACCAATTACATATATACATATATTTTAAATTTATTTGCATTGATTTCTATTCCTTCTTAATAGTCCCATATTTGTAAGGGATTTTATCTATTCCAGATTAAAATCTTCTCGAATTAAATTATAGTTTTTTAAATTATATTTCAGTTTTTCTATATGTATTTATATTTCATCTTTATAGAGGCATTAAAGGCAATAGATGAAGGGGGGTGTGATTCCTTAATGAGAAAGAGAGTTCGAGAAAAAAATGTCAAACCTGGTGCCCTGTGGCACATCTTTAATGCAAGAGATGCAGATAAAATAAGAGATCTTTTGAATAAGGTTTGTTGTATAACACTATATATTATTAAAATATAAAATATTGTGTACAATATTTAAATTATGTTATAGGTAGCAATGGAACGAGGTGAAAGATTAGAACCTCATCATGATCCTATTCATGATCAGAGTTGGTATTTGGATGAAGAATTGAGAGATCGCCTTTATAAAGAATATGGAGTTGAAGGCTATGCAATTGGTCAATGTCTTGGAGATGCTGTATTCATTCCTGCAGGTGCACCTCATCAAGTTAGTAAAATTCATTATAATTATCATTGCGATTCAGTTTTAAAAATTTTATGAATACATGTCAATTGGCAGATATAATTAAAAAGAGCTAAATTACAGCTCTTTTTAATTGTTCAAATTTTATTTTATTGAATATTTTAAATTTATTTGACATTAAAATTTTTAATTCTGAAATCAGTGAATTCACATGATATAAAAGATTAAATATTTTTAAAAAGATTAGAACTTACAATACAGAATTTCAAGATGATGATTTTGATTTCTGCAAGTTTATTAGATTCTAGTTCAGTTGTAAATAAAATATAAAAACTTAATTTAAATTAATAATTAATTAATTAAAACAAGAGATATAGGCCAGCTAGTATAAACTAATACCCCTATTAAGCTGCTGTGTGACAAATGATATTGTGAGATCCGGAATTTTTGTGACGGAAATCCCGCTCTTTTATTAACAAAAATGTTAATTAATTAAACTTTCGTTTATGTAACGTCCTAGAAGAGAAAAACAATTTTTAGCCAGGATTGTGTAAACTTTCCGGTCATAACTAGCAACATTTATTGTTTTCTGCAGAACTTGCATCTCGTCTTGCAAGAAGGTTTACAGTTAGCATCTAAATGTCGTCATTTGTTGTAGATCCCAGGAACACCTATAACCTTTAACTCATGAACATCCGATCACGTGGTGGAAATTCCCCACAAAAACCTATAAAAGACCGTTCTTACCCCCTCTCGGGGGAGTCTATTACCGAATGCGGGACCGACTACATTGTGCCAATTCTCCGAACCCGCCGAATCCGATCTCCGATGAACCTCGAATAAAATCATCGAAAAGATCGCGAACTTTTTAAAATTGTGCTCCTGTGGATAATAGATTTGAACATTTAAGCGCCTCCCTGGATTAAACCGATCAAGGAACTCCATAAAGAGGTATGAACAGCGGCTCTCTCTCAAGCACATTAGGTGGTTTAAACGCAATTTGTGTAGTCTTTGATCAATTCGCTTGTTTTAATAAATTGTTATTTTATTTGTTATAAATATGGTAGACTCCTTTACTTGATCACGTCCTTCACCTTATCGTCGACCCCAAATTCTCTCCATCCACTCACCTGACATTTGAGAGTCAATTAGACGTCCTGACAAGTGAACGGGAGCCTTACGCCCCCATAATCACAATATCAATGCTTAACAATTTTCATTAAAGGTAGACATTAGGTGCAATCTCTTATTGAAATTAATAATTTAATATTTATGGAATAATTTAGAATAGTTTTCTTCCAAAGTATTCTAAATTATTATTAATTTCAATAAGAGATTGCACCTAATGTCTACCTCTAATACCAAATTACTTAAAATCTAATTGTTAATAGAACCAAAAATAGCCTGATAGATTATCAAAGCCAAACAATTGCCATAATGTATGTTATTTATCAGGCAGTAAGTTAATGTTTTTCATAATTGTTTTATGTATGCCAGCCATAGTCTGCTTTTTTTTAATATACTTAAAAGTTTGATTTTAATAACTGCTTTTATTGTAGGTTAGAAATCTACATAGTTGCATAAAAGTTGCAGAAGATTTTGTCTCTCCAGAAAATGTTGCTCATTGTTTTACATTGACACAAGAATTTAGGCAATTATCTGACACTCATACAAATCATGAGGATAAATTACAGGTGAGTGAATAAATTGTTTTTATTATTACATCAATTATGAATATAAAACTTAAAATTTTATTTTAATTTTCAGATCAAAAATATAATATATCATACAGTAAAGGATGCCTTAGCTTTACTTCAGACAAAATCACCTGGAGATACACAAATTATGTAAAAACTGATGAACTGCATAATTTTAATTATTTTCAATTGCCATTTCTTGGCAGAATAACTAGTCGTTCATCACTTTCAGAAACTGCCATTAGATAATTAAAAGATGTTCATTATTTTCTAATTTATATAAACACACATTCAAATAGAATTTTAATAGAGAATATATATATATATATATATATATATATATACATAAAAAAATATAAGAATATTTTCCTGAATTATGAATCAAAATTAATTGCATAAAATAATTATTTGAATTATAATATTGCAACTCAAACTTATTTATAATAGAATCTTAATTTCAGACTCAAATGTTCATTTAATAAATTTGTAAAATTGTAAACAGTTAATAATGAATAATTTTTATAGAATGTACAATGCTGATGTCATGGTACTTAATTACTTCAAAATTTTACCAAAAATATGCTAAATTTGTAATGTTTTCTTTTATTATAAAAAAATATATATATAACAGGAACGTAATTTTATATAGGTTTGATGTAAATTTTGTAAATATATTAGCTGTCGTGCTAACTATTATTCATTATTTTCACAATATTTTGTTACCACATCATTAATAGCATTAGCAACATAGTTGAGATTTTTGTGATTTAATCCACTCATATTCATTCGACCCACTGTAGGCATATAAATATGATAGTGATCCTTCAGGTATTTAGTTTTTGTACCTGAAAAGAAATTTAAAGTATGAATGACTTATAATTTAAATATCAAATCAACTTTTAAATATGAAATATTATCAATAATTGTTTTCTCTTTCAACATTATAGAAATGTATTAATACAAATTGTGAAAAATAAAATTATTTTTCTATAAAACATAAGTAATAATAATAATTTTTACCCTTTTAAGAATTATAGTAATTGTTTAGTAATTTCTTATTGTAAAGTTTTTAAAATCAAAAAAGAAGGAAAGGAATTACCTGTAATTCCAGACAATGAAAACATGCCAGTATGTTCCTTAAAATAGGACCAGTTGCCAACTGTTTCCAGTTGTTTTAACTTTTCATATAATGAAACTCTGATTTCTTTAATTCTATTACTCATTGTTTTTATATTTAATTTCCTTTTAGTAGAAAAAAATAAGTGTTAAAATTTATCTTGTTTACATGAAATAGAAAAAATACTGACCATTCATTAAATAATTCTTCATTATTTAAGATATATTCTACAATTTTTGCTCCATAAGAGGGTGGATTAGAATAATTTCCTCTTATTAAATAAGTAAATTGAGACTTTACATTCGTCATTTTCAAAGGATTATTAAAAACAATCGCAAGATTTCCAATTCGTTCACCTATTATAAAACATAGTCAAAGAAGCAAAAAGTTTTGTTAATTTATTATATAAAATGCTTGAAAAATAACATTTCATTTTTAATGTAAGAACAGCTATTTAAAAATTTATATTTTAGTACAAAACATTCAAATATTTTGAAATAAAACTCACCATATAAACCAAAATTTTTTGAAAATGATTGTGCACAAAATAATTCAAATCCACGAGAAGCAAAATATCGAACTGGCCACCCATCAACTTCCCAATCACCAGAAACAAAACCTTGATAAGCACAATCAAAAAAAGGAAAATGATTTTTTTCCTAAAAACCAAATAAATTTGTTATATATTTTTCTTATAAAAATGTAATCATTTACAACAAATTAATAGTAGTGTCCAATGTTGTTTACAAGAGAAATTTCTATCATGAATATGTATTGTTTAATGAAGGATAAGAATTACATTGAATTTATACTTGTATATTATCATAATGAAATAGTTTATTATTAATTTACAAATGCATGTATTTTTGCATAACAAATTGTTATGATTTAATTTGACTGTGAAGTAAATCTAAGTTAGATTCTAATGAAAATAATATACTTAGATTTAACAGATATTTTATTTTGCTTCTCAATTTATTTAAATAATTAAGAATTTAAAATAAAATGTTAAGTAAAACCAATTTCCAGTATGTGAAATTTTTTAATGATAGATCAATTGCCTTCAGAGAAACAATGTAAGTTATTGAATAAATGGTATCATGAACTTAAAAACAAATGGCATAACCTATCACTAATTCTAAATGCCTATGAAATCATTCATGGTAATGACCTAAAAATATTTTTTTCTTTTTGTTAAACTTATCAAAAGCCAAAACCATATATTGCAATTATTATTAGCATATCTAACATTAACACACAAAAGAAATTTAAGAATTTTACTTGATTATATTAAATTAAAAGCAGTGATTTATATATGAATATTCATTATAAAAACTATACAACCACTGAAAATCACATTTAAATAACACTTTTCATTAAATTCCATCATGAAATAACATATCATTGTTTAATGAATACTTGAACTATGTTATTTTTGAGATTGTGATTTTTGACAGCTTTATAGTTTTTGATACTATTAGAATAATGTTCCTAAAAACGGGTTATAGGAATCCTAAAATACTTGGAATAACAAGAAAAGTAAACGTTGAATAAATAATAATGAATATCTAAATTAATACTGGATTTCATTTTGTATTAAAACAAAATCTGTTCTGTTTATGCAGTGATGCTTACTTTATACAGTATTGCTTAGCAGACATTTGAATAATATAGCAAATATACAAAGTGACAAAAATATTTAAAATTATAAATTAAATGTCAGCAATTATCAGAAAATTTAAACAATGTATCAAATATTGATTTTTATATTTAAAATTGATGGAAAACATTGCATAATTCATCATATGAAATATATTAAACTATCTTACATTGAAAAAGTTGAATTGGAGGCAGATATGAAATAATCATAGTAAAAACTTTTGATGGAAAGGACTTGCTTTAATAAAACTAATAATAGTCATATTTTGAATGATGGGCCTAAGAAAATAATGAAAAATTAATGATATAAAATACAGGAAATTAGATGCTAATAAATTCAGCTACTTTTTCAATGAATAAGTGAATAATTTCTCAGATTTCATTGCTAAGATTTATATGAATGCTTATTAAAAATACATTACAGTAGAACCTCGAAAACTCGTCCCTCGATAACTTAGCACTCCAGATAACTGGTCCACACCTTGGCAGGGCGAAAAAATCCTTAGTTAATTAATTTTCATTATAGACAGCTTTATAAAAGTATAAAAGCTCTCATAAAGTATTTTTCTGAGGTCTGTCTTATCAGGTAAATTACTGTACACAGTGTATTCATTAATTTTCATTTTCATGTAGTGGAGCTATTATNGTAAAAGGGCAGGTGTGGGCTAAGAATTTCTGTGTTTTAGTTTTTCTTTTATGTAGGATTTCCATGCGGAAGCTAGTCCATCTGCGTCCCTGGCATTAATACAACCATCCTTTAATTTACTTTTATAGATTTCAATTTTTTTTTCTTTGTGCATTGATAATGATGGGGAATGCGTAACTCTGAGGACAGTCACTTCATCCCATTTAACCACAGAGTCCTCTGCTTGTGCCATACAGGATAAAACTGTATTGCAGTGCTCTTTGTTAATGTCATATTTGTGCTCCTTAATTCTGGTAGCTAAATTCCTTCTTGTGACCCCAATATAGTCCTTCTTAATTCCTGATTTTCAAATGGAATTTTATATACGCCCGCCTTTTCTTCATTTTTAATCATGTCTTTATCATTTCTTAAAATACTGTATAAATTAGGCGCTCTTTTGAAAACTATTTTTGAGTGTTTTCTGTCCAATAATTGTTTCATGATTTACTTGATGTTTCGATTATAACTGAACTTGGAGATTTTAAAATGATTTGTTTGGGTTCTTATTATATTGCCTCCTTCATATTTTTAAACAAGGAGTATTGGGATGTTTATTCAAAATCTCAACACACGTATGACAAGGGTGCATTGTCTCACTATTTTTATTTTAGCTATGACTTCATCATGAGGAAATTATGAGTGAGATTAATTTAGGTATGGTTTATTTGGTTATGTCAATGTGACACATTGCTGATGGGGAGGATGCCTCCAGGGAGGACTTTTATAGGAAACCGGTCTTTATTTAGGTGTTACAGATAAGAAGAAAACTACATGGCCAGCCCATAGGCTGGCATGAACTCATGACCAACTACCAGTGTTCAGTAATTTTATCCACTCAGCCACTGGTGAGCCATGAATTTAGATTCCCATATAAAAGGTCAAGGTGGCAGCTTACCGCTCTGGGGACCCAGGGTCCTTCCAGATATGTCAGGTTCTCACCACCTGGCCGCTCCATTGCGGACCTGGCTGAATCTATAATGGTCTTGCTAAAAGAGTACCTCTTAGACATATAGGGCGAAAAGAGAAAAAAAAACGAACATCAAACACTAATCTGCCAACCAAATTTCGCGAAAAATGGACCAAATATTTAAACTCTGCACCCTCGAAAATCAATAATAATGATATAATAAAGAATAATAATGCTGTGTTATAATTATATTACTATATTTATATTTCATTAATATTCTTCTATTTCAGTTATATTTACGTAAGAAACTTTATAGAAAATAATAAAATACCTCCATAACATCAGCAATGATTTTCCATTGATCTTGATTTAAATCAACACCTGTTGGATTGTGTCCACAAACGTGCAAAAGAATTATGGATTTTTCAGGAGCATTCTGTAATAAATCTTATGTGATACATATTTGTATAATTTACTATTACAGTATTTTAATTTTAGAAAATTATATATACTTGTAAATCTTCTTTCATTCCTTTAAGATCAAGTCCTTTAGAAACAGAATCCCAATAACGATATCTTTTAATATCTTGAAATCCAGCCAGAGGAAAAACAATATGATGGCTAGCTAAGATTTGAACATAATTTCTTAATATTTTAATACTGTATTTAAAATATTTTTAAAATTTCTTACGCCAGGAAGGCTCTGACATGTAAAATGTTCTGTAATTTAGACATTTTGTCAGAAACTCTGCACCCATCCTTAAGGCCCCGGTTCCACTTACGGTTTGAATACCTAAAACCTATATAATTACATTTTTGTTTATTTATTTAAATTATTTTAAGTTTTAGCTATGATATGAAACTTACAGTGGTTCTTAATTTATCAGATAAAACATTTCTTTTATTAATAATACAGTCAAATTTCGGGTTTCGAACTTAATTCGTTCTAAAAATTGTTCGAAAACCGATTTGTTCTCAAACCCAAATTTTCCCATATGAAACAATATAATATGAATTAAACCGTTTTTGACTCCAATAACAGTTTTTTTTTTAACATTTTTAGCCGTACTTCATGCATAAAACGCAATATAATATTGTCTATCTATAGCCATTATATATAAAACAAAATGTTCCGTCACTGCCAACAGAAACCATCACTTTTTATGTTTGGTTTAAGTTATGGCAACGCAACACTTGGGCGATCTGCCTAGGGGAGTATCTTTTTAAGGGTAACTGGCCGCTATTCAGGCATTACAGACATGGAGGAAATCCGGAAAACTCCACGTGGTCAGCCCGTCCTGATAAGGCACGAACCCATAACCGAACGCCCAGTGTTCAAGGAACGGAACCGTTCGGCCACCATCACTTTAAAAAAAAGAAAGTGATATAGAGACTCGACTCTGCCTGGATGAAATATAACCAAATCAAGTTTCAGTTTCGGTGTAAAAACCAGAGTTTTAATTATTATTATATTATTTTTAGTTTTAATTAACTGGCTACATAATATTAATAAATATTAAGTTAAACATTAATATTATATTAATAAATTTTTGTTATTTAATTTGAGTTAAGCAACTTTAAACACGGATTCGTGGATGTCATTTATACTACGCGGTTTTTGTTAATTTTATCTAAATTCAATTTCGACACGTACCGAGAAACGGAAGTAGTATCGTACCGCATGCGTATATAAATCTAATTTGAATAACAAAGTCATCCATAGTCAACGTCATCATAGCATCCTTGTGGTGACGTCTAACGATGTGAGGCGATCTCGGCGCCACTAACTTCTGAATCGGTAGTCACGTCGTTGATTGGTCGGCCCGTCAATTTTCTTTAACACGGGAAGTACACGAAGTTGACCCTCTGTGTTTTTCTAATCTGTGCCAAGTTCTTGTTCGGCAAAACGGGACAAATATGACGTTCAAAATTTTGTTCGAAACCTGTGATTTGACTGTATAATTTATACTAAGATGTGAACAATTTATATTGACAACTGAAAAAATTATCATTGAATTGTGTTTATGAAATTATTTAAATTCAATGCAAAACATCTGAATTTTCATAAAATTCAAATTTTGACTTAAAAATGTATATAAATATATAATATACCCTATTCTCTCTAATAACTGTGTGATCATTTCCAAGCAGAAATCGAAGAGATGCTTGAGTAAAATTGTAAAATCCTGTTTGTCCTAAATATTCATGACTTAAAGCATTCTCAGATGCTAATATCTTTTCTGTCCTTTTTACAACAGGAAGAACCCAATGTTTTCCTTCTTCTGTTCTATACACTATGAAGGGTGGAATAAAGTTTAGTGAACCTGATCTCCTTGACATCACTTTTAAAATAAATAAATATTAATAGCTTAATTTTTTTTTAAATCTTAAATATTAAAAAAATAATAATTTTAACAGCATATCTTGAAGTACTTTAATTAAAAATAATAATAATAATCTTTATTAAAATATCTCAATAACTTATATAAATGATTGAGTAAATCTAAATAAGGTGAATAATTTATTACAGTTTTATTAATACAAAAATATTTTACGGTATTATTTTATATAATACTAGCTGTTACCCGCGACTTCGTCAGCGGAGGTTTTGCAAGCAAACCCCATTTACATCCAATATTTCAATAACCATAGTAATTGTTATATAACACCTACCGCTGAAGAGAATTGCCGAAAATCAAACGAACTATTTTCAATTTGATCAATTTTCTGAAACGTTTACAATCGTTCTATAATCGAACCAATACGCAATAACAAATTCGAATTTAAAAC